GCAAAGGAGGGAGTTGTCGTGCCCTGTATTCTCTTGTCACACAATGTTTTTTTTCGAACCTCATTCTTCTTCAATTGTCACAATAAAGTTGGACAGGTACATCCGGTCTGTAGACAGTGGACCATGAGGATGAGTCTTTTGACTGCCCACCTGCGACTTAGAACTTATTATAGAAAATCAATATCAAGAAAATTTTATTCAGGTGTGAAAGCAGCAAATTGAATAAGGAAACACAAGAGTATAGGCTGGATCTGCAAAATGACGAAACTTTTTTTCTCAGAATCAGAGAAGAATTTTATAAGACGTTCATACGAAATTGGTAAGAAACTGTCCAACTTTATTGTGACAATTGAAAAAGAATGAGGTTCGAAAAAAAACATTGTGTGACAAGAGAATACAGGGCACGACATCTCGCTCGTTTGCATCAATTCTGCCTTTTCATACTGATCTCTAGCAAAATGCACCTATTCAATAAGTATAAGAGATTGAAATGGTTTTCAAACACGGTAAGAACAGCTGAACAGAGTAGCAAATTGAAAGGAAACACAAGAGTATGCAAAATCACGAAACTTTTTTTGTCAGAATCAGATAAGAATTTTATAAGACGTTCATACGAAATTGGTAAGAAACTGATAAGATTCTTATAAGATATTCATAAGAAGGTGATAAGACGGCTTGTTGTTTTCTTATGAATATTTTATAAGTTTCTTATAATAATCTTATAAGAACCAGTGAATTTCTTGTCACTTCCGTGCAACATCTTATATAAGAATCTTGTAAGAATCTTATCAGAAACTTATAAAAACTGTCAAAAATTCTTTCACTAGGGTTATAACAATTGTTGTATATGATTAAGGTAAAGTCGCGTTTCGCCAATTCAACTTTCGCCGACAGACATGCGCCATATTTGGCGAATGTTACCGCGACATTCGCCAATTTTTTAACCACTAGCAAAAATTATGATTAGAAATACGTAATTCTACGCGCCCTCTGTCATTGTTGCTATTCTGTGCATACCATTTGTTGTTGAAATACGAAAACGTTCGTTGACGTTTCTGGTGGCAAACCTATTCCTAATGGTCTAGATATAAATAAACAAAAAACCTAAACACTTAATCATGGATTTGTCGCAGTTCGCCAATTCAACTTTCGTCAACGTTCGCCAGTAGACATTCGCAGACGGCGAATGTCCAAAAAAATTGGCGAATGTCTATGAGAATTCGCCACGAGACATTCGCCGATTGGCGAATGTCTGTTGGCGAAAGTTGAATTGGCGAAAAGCGACTTTACTACTCCAATGACTACTGAGGACAGGTACTGGCAACTGTCGCCGAGACATTCGCTATATTTGGCGAATGTCTCATAGACATTCGCCAATTTTTTTGGACATTCGCCGTCTGCGAATGTCTACTGGCGAACGTTGGCGAAAGTTGAATTGGCGAACTGCGACAAATCCATGATTAAGTGTTTAGGTTTTTTGTTTATTTATATCTAGACCATTAGGAATAGGTTTGCCACCAGAAACCGCAACGAACGTTTTCGTATTTCAACAACAAATGGTATACACAGAATAGCAACAATGACAGAGGGCGCGTAGAATTGCGTATTTCTAATCATAATTTTTGCTAGTGGTTAAAAATTCTACTTATGCAGAGAGCAGTTAACCAGACGCGGTTTTCCTCGACTTGAACTTGTCGACACGATGAATGATCTCAAAACAGGGCCATATATCTTTGTAAAATGATGGAAAAATCTATTGATATTTTTCTTTTGTCTCAATTCAGCTTTTCTAGGCCAAATCTGATTTCATCAGTCAATCTATTTCTGCGGAAAAGCTATAGCTCTATTGTCCTTTTCAGATATTGGACAATTAGATTTTGTTGATACGAGTTGAGTCTTATCAACATAAACACGTTTCTTTTCTGTTTTCTGTTCTGTTTCACAATGTCGACAGGTAATTTCGTAACTTTTTTCTGTTACTATATGATGATGAAATTTTCATGTCATATATAATACATCGATAAATAAATTAGTATAGTAACTGTTCTTTCTTTCTTCAGCTACAATTTAGCCGAATAAATGTTTCTATTTGAATATTTACCAAATGAATTGATTATCAATCTATTTGACTATTTGGATGATTACGATCGTTATGTATCATTCGATGGCCTTAACCAACGATTCGATAAACTTCTTTTGTATGTCACACATTCATCTTGGTTTACTGTGAACTTTTCTAATTTACATCAATCAAAATTTCATCGTGTATGTAAATTTATGAAATCTGAAGACACTCGATCTTTAACGCTTTCAAATTATCGACATTCTGTTCATATCAATCAAATTCCATTATTTTTCAATATTTATTTTCAATTGGATCAACTGAAATATTTACAACGTTTATATTTGTATGGCATTGATGATAATCAATGTCAATCTTTTTTACCGAAACTTGAACAATTACAACATTTATCACTTTTAACATTTAAATGTCTCACTGTCGTTCGACAGTTTAATCTGAGTGCAAGATTTTTGTCATTGAAAACAGTCAGAACATTGAAGTTCTTAAGCGATGGAGGACAAATTGCGTTTGTTATGGATACATCACCACCTATAATTGTCATAAATCACGTTCAATATTTGAAAATAAATCTGTCACTTGACATTGAGTCATTGAATCAGTTATTGATACATCTACCACATTTGAAGTCACTGGATATTAAATTAACGAAAGAGACCCGAAATCCGGTAAATCACATGGATGATAAATCACTCACTACTTGTATAGAAACTGATATAACCATTTTGACTATCGAATTGTACTCCTACACACGAATTACATTCAATGATATTCAGGAATGTCTAAAATCATTTTTTAAATTAAAAAATTTCATTATCACCGGTATTGTTAGTGATCGACAATTTTTCGATGGCCAACGATGGAAACAATTGATTGACACTCGCCTACCTAATTTGGAACAATTTCAATTTCTATTCACTATTTATAAATATGAGATTACAAAGCTCAATGTTACATCGTTCGATACATGGCATCGAGTACAATGTGATTCAAATCAGCATGTAACATCAATTTATACATTGCCATATGCATTTCATAAGCAAGAATTATCATTACCCTTTCAATCAATATCACCAAAAATGAAACGAACCGACTACTCACGTGTTCGTCAATTACGTTTTGTATCGGCGAATAATGCTGCTACTAACGAACAATCGGTATTGGAAAATCGTTGTTATCCGAATATCGATACGCTCATCCTATGGAAAATATCTCCATTTTTGTCGTCCTTGAATGATCTTTCAAATTTGATTGTTCTGGACACTATCCGACACCTGGATATTGGCTATCATGCAGCCGATATTCAAATTCACTTGGATTTACTACGGCAAATATCAAAAAATTTACATTCGTTAACTATACGAAATTATGATCTATTCGATGAACTATGGACACTTGCTAATAATCAATCAATATCATGTAAAACAATAAAAACTTTATCATTACATTTCACATACTTCAACATCAAATACGTCAAAAGTTTCTGTCAACTCTTTCCCAATGTAGAAGAATTGTCGGCCGTTGTACTGAGATTGAATAATATATGTTCTGTAGTGAAATCGATTAAAAATTTAATTTGGTTAAAACTGAAATGCGAAGAACTGAAAAATATGTATACAACTGATATTACACGATGGTTAATATCATCAAAGATGTCGAAAACTGTTGAAAATATGTCTCATCCTATTAATGATGAAATTCATTTTTGGTTGAAATAAGAGTATAGTTTTCTTACTTCAACACATACCTACTGTAAACGTTATAGACAAACAAAAAGATCTAATCTTTATATAACAGTTTATACTGTAAGTATACATTAAGCAGAACTCATGAGATTTCGCTTGCTTCCTGTCTGTGTAAAAATCCGACGTTGAATTATAAAATCAAAATTTATGATTTTCATACTAAATGTCACATCAATTTTCGAAAAGTACTTTGGCTGTATCTCATGAATAATTAACCTTATTTCACAGATTTTTCTATCTTTTTTTCTCTCGTGAAGGTCAATATGAGCGAAAAATTCAGATGTTTGGGAGAAGGGGAAATCGAACGTTATCACGAAAATGCCCAATTTCCTTAAAAACTTCGACTATCTTACCAAAAACTGCATATTATTTATACTTTTTATACAAAACGCGACTCACATCATGGCAGAAAATCTAATTTTGAGTGACGTCAAGTTATGTTTATAAAATATAATATCGTTAGGCTAATGAAGGCTGAAATGATCTATACTGAGCATTACAGTTTAGTCGAGCTAAAAAGTTCCGCTACGTATCTGATTCATGGAAGAAATATTTTTGTGAAGTGGGTTTTTAGAAATTTTCTCAGTTCTAATTCCACTTTCGGTTCCATGACACTGGAACTTCAACTAATAATTCTACTCATTTTTCATAAATATCCCCATATCGTTCAAAACATTGTTTTTAACATCATTTGTTTATTTTCAAGAGTTGGAGATCTAATTTTGAGTCACTCGAAGCTATGTTTACACAATATGATATTGTTAGGCTAATGAAGACTGAACGAACGCTAATGAGGAGTTTTAATTGAAGAAGTTCAAATTATTTATTCTTGTGATCTAAAACATTCTCATTCGATGAGATTTTTTATAAAAAACCAGTGGGATGGGATAATATAAGAGAATGAAGAGGAGTATTGATTAACTGAACTTATATGAGTGGTTTTTCATCTGAGAGAAACTATAGCAAGTTATTAGAAAACAATAAGTCATATGATTTATTCTCTACGCAGAAAAAGAATTTCGGCTATGGGACGTTTCCTTGACGAAATTTAAGGAAATTAAAATCAAAATCAAAAGGAATTCGTGGAGGGTGCAACATTGTTTTGCTCTAGAATTGTATACTGACTTTGACAATTATATAAAAAGTTCTAATCACTTGCAATAACATCACTACATTCTTAGGCGTTTCTCGTTTTAGCCTCAGTGTCGGGCTTCCCTGCAAAGGTTTTATAAGGATGATCGAAGTATACTAAAGTCAAGTCTGTAATCCTCAAATCCAGTGAGTTCACAAATGCACATTGGCTTTACAATATTGTCTGCATCAGACACTTGGAGCCCCTGTATATAATAATACATATTTCTCAGCAACGCAGATTCGTCAGAATCATAGCAACCTTGCTTTTTCATGGTTATATTTTACATACTTCATTTATTCACGATATTAATGCATGCTTGTATCATTGTTGTATACGCGTAGTTCATTTTTCTTCAAATAAAAAAGGTTAAGCTATACCTTAGTTATCAGGTTATCTCGATATTTTCTATTTTTCTCTAACCATGTGTGAAACTCGAAAAAATAAAAAAACCGCTTAAGTTTTGAATTTCTAGAACCTTTCGTAGTAACTTATACTTAAAAAGCATACTGGATATAGAGCGATACCTTCTCTGCATACTGGCACTGGCTCGGGACCTTCAACTTCCGTGATTCGTAGGCTATAGCCATTTTCCGATGGTCTACCTATTGACCAACCTCAAGTAGGATGAAATCGTGGATCTAATCTCAAACGAGCTCCTTGAATCTTTGTTAGAACATATTCTCCTATATTATAATGTTTATCTTTTCTATTTTTATTTTATCTTATAGTAGAAAGATTTTGTTGTTTGATCATATTTTCACGTGAATATAATTGGTATGGCTGGTGGATCAATCGGCAAACGCGGCTTTCTCCCAAATTGTAGTTCATATAGTGGAAACTTTGTGGATGAATGAACGCCGGTGTTATACGCGAATATCACTGGATCTAGAAACTCGTCCCATTTTCTATATTCTGAGCTCATAATTTCGTGATTTGTGGAACAAAGGTGGCGTTAAATCTCTTTATCATTTCCTTGGATTGTGAATAATACGCCAAAGAGAATATATGCTGAATCCCCATTTGTTCTTTAATGCTTGGATTAGCTGATTGCGCCAGAGTAGTGCTATAATAGTCAGACGTTATTATCTGTAAAAGGAACAGTGTCATTGGTTGTTTTTTTGTATACCTTTTTCCATAGGATAAACTAGAGAACTCCGATTCGCATCATTCGCAAGAGGAGACTTGGAGGCATTGTTCATAAACAAAACTTTTTCCAGGACAGTTTTCTGAAACGAAAATCAAAAAACTGCATAATTCAGCCAAAAAACACTAGCATGAGTTTAGAACTTTAGGCTGCGATCTGTACTGTCGTTTAAACGTTGTTGTAAGATCCAAAAGGCATACTTTTCTTAACAGATTTTTTGAAAACGCTTTGGGAAAATCTCAGCGTTTTGTAAAATGTCTTTCGGCATCTGCTCTATTCAACATGAGATCCAAATTGTGACGTGTTGACGCAAATCGTACTTATAATTCGAAAACTAAGTTTAATTCTGTTTTAAGATTTACAGAAAAAACAATTTGTATATTGTACAGCTTAAATTGTGATTTACAATTTGCTTTTTCCTCATGAAGGAAGAGAAAAATCAAGTGAGCAAACAAAGTAGATGAATCATTTCGTTCGTCAGAAGAAGAACATAGATAAGAAACAGTCATAAATTTGCGCAGTAGTAATCAAAATACAGAAATTGGACATAGAAGTGATTCGCTCTTTTACTTATCGCTTTTTTCTTATGGGAAAGCTCCCTATTTAGATTTTCCTCAAATCCTCCCAGTTTGCAGTGAATACTTCGAAGCATATATCCTGAAGTTTTTTGGGTTTACTGACATTATTTGGTTGAGAAAACAATTGATTGCTTCAAAAAAATATTGTTAAATTTTGAGCACTATTATTAAAAAACTTCTTGTCTACAATACTTTTATGAACAACATTGGCAAATGTGTTTTGAACAAGTTAATCAACAGGTTAGTTTTTCCCGAGTTTGACAAAATCTATAAAATAGTGAGCTCAAACCTTTATACTAAATGATTAGTGAGATATGAAAGTTTCATTACTTTTCAGTACAATAATAACACATGATATAAAGAGGATGACCATTTATTGTGTAGTGAGAACGTAGAGTAGCCATAACTACACCTGTGCGCCGGTTGGAAAATGGGCGGCGGCGTGTAACAAAAGTTTTCCGACCAGTGGCGGTGGCTAGAAATAAATGTTTAATAGGCGGCGCCAGCTAAAAAAACATGCTCAGTTGGTGGAGGCTTAAAGATTATTTAAGACTTTGGATCGTCAGCGGAGAGACGCAACTAAATTTGAATACAAAACTTAGTTTAAGCCAAGATCCGTTGTCGATTTCATGAAATTTTTTATTTTATTTTTAATCAAAATAATAAGCGAAACAAAAGCTGCACTGTTTCTGTGGCGATAAAAAATAATTTCCTCGACGGCGGTGGATCCGCAAATCTCAGTTATACATCGGGAGCGGCGGAGCGCACAGGTCTAGCCATAACTCTTGTCTATCGACAGTATGAATTTCGAATATTAGCTATTATTGGTTACTGAAAGACAGCTATTTTATAATCGATGTTCTCTTCTTAAAATTTGAACTCCTCTTCCAAAAGAATTCATAACTACTGTTAGACGCATCATTGTGGAGTCAACAGGTTTGAGAAATATTTGTTTGTATATATATTATTCTCCCAAGCCTGTCGATTTTCATTCATTAGTCGCTTCTATGGACAGTAGTAAGTAAAGCGACAAGTTGTTGTGTAGAGAGTAGCGACTGAAAATATTGTGTAGCCCTCGATGTGCTAAGATAAAAACAGTCAATGGATATTGACTAGCAAGTAAATCTCTTAATGGTATACCTCCTCTCTTTTTGGGCTTTCCGTAGAAATGCTGTAAAATAAAAAATAAAAGTCGCTAGGACTTCATATTTTCGAGAGATGGGCGAGTACACAGATTCTCGAATACGAGTATGAGTACGAGTACAAGTATTTTCTAAAACGTACTCGAGTAGTACTTGAGTACTTTTTAGAAAATACTCGAGCACCAAAATTTTTAAAAGAAGAAAATAGTCATGAAAAAAGTTATTTTAATTATAGGTTATTGTATGTTAAAAAATTTCAAATACTCGAAAATACTCGAGTACATTTTTAAGTACTGGTAAAAAATAGTCCCGAGTACGAGTACTGAAAATTTTGTACTCGAGTATACTCGAGTACGATTATATAGTCGTACTTGCCCATCTATGGTATTTTCAGAACTGATTGGAAACTCAATAAAGCATTTGTTCGTTTTTATTTCAAGTTTTCAACTATTGCCGTTCACCAGTTTTTCAAAAAACTCGGTTTTCATTGTGCCACATTACGGCCCCCTTTAAATTTCATCCGATGAAGTTCAAAATTTTACCAGAAGTACCCAAGGTCATTCCGTAGACGTAATTTTTGAAAAATCTTTTGGAGACCTTTTCTGGTCGCGTTATAGAAAAAATACTGAAAAACGTCTCAAAACCCAAGTGTGTTTTAGAAACCCTAAAAGTCGATATATTAGAACAAGTCATCAATGAGAATAATTTGGTGGATAAACCATCCCAAATATTTAATTGTGATGAATCGGATTTTGCTGATAATACAGATACCACAAAAGTTATAGTATCTAATCCGACAAAATTTCCATATAAGAAACAAGATGGCACAGGAAAATCATATTATTCGGTATTGTTTTGTGTTAGTGCCGCTGGCGTTATTTTACCACCTTATATAATATACAAAGCCAAAAGATTGTATGGTGATTGGTGTCTTCACGGTAAGTTCACAAATTCTATTTAGACTATCTAACTTTTACATGCCGCTTCTATAATGAATCTTCATTTTAGGACCACCAGGTGCCGCATATAATACATCGAAAAACGGCTGGATGGAAGAAAATGTTTTTTATGAATGGTTTAAACATTTATTTATTCCTCAAACTGCCACAACACCGAAACCAATTTTATTAATATTAGATGGTCATACATCTCATCATAGCGTTCATACAGTTGAATTAGCCATTGAAAACAATATCAATTTATTATGTATACCACCACATTCGACGCATATTGTTCAACCACTGGATGTTACATTTTTCAAGCCTATCAAACAAAAATATCGAGAAATTCTCAATGAATATTCTCAAACATCTTGTTATACGAAGGTTTGAAAGAAGGTTTTTCCATCATTAATGGTAAAATTATTTGGATCGACTGCTGCGAAGAAAGCCAATATTATCAAAGGGTTTATGAATACCGGTATTTATCCGTTGGATAAAACAGCAATAAATTTACAAAAGATTTTAAAGTGTAATGAACAAATTGCAGCTGATATTGCTGAAACCAACGACAACCAACAAAACCCATTTGACTCAGCAGCGGAAGATGAGGAAGACGTATCTTCTAACCCAATTCCTTCTACCACTACTCAGCTATTCATGACAAGTATGTACAAAAAGACAAACTAATTTACATATTAAAGACAACATGATAAATAATTCTATTTATAGAGAAACAATCTGCAACTGTCATATCAAATAGACCGGATTTAAATACTAGTCAATGGGATAAGGATAGTAAGTTAAAATTTTGTGAGGTTTACTTCTTAATCAAACGAGATCTCCTATTTAGCATCGTCGAAATCTACTTATTTATTTACCAAAATCCCAAGCGCAAATACAAGTCTTTGGGATCACGATGGTAATTTCAACTCTTCTAACAATTATCGCGAGTCATTTTACATTGCTTATTCTTTTCAGAAGCTCATGATGACGATGGTATACAAGATCTTATACCACCAATCAATACCAGCGCGTGGGATCATGAATGGGAGTTTAATAGATATCTACCGAGTGCTGCTTTCGAGCAATATTTTCCATTTCTAGTCGATATTCCATTAGATTTATCTCGACCAACAAAATCAACTATTAAAATTTTATCTTCAACATCTGCACCACCATTAAAGCGAGTTGTTCTTGATCGACAGGCTGGCCAGCTTTTAACAGGCCAACAAGCCTTAGAACAATTGAAAGCGAAGGAAGAACGTAAAGCTACTGCAAAATCAGCCAAATCTAAACGAGAAATAACATCAACTAAAAAATGTTCCTCAACAAAAGCAAAAATGAAGAAAAAAGTAACGATTATCGATGGTATGTTTTGCATTAGCAATTAGGAAACTCAAATAATAGTCTGTTCTCTCGTTCTGATAGATATTTCGATGGATACTAACGAGTCATCAACTACCATAGTTTCTGCTCCAAAGACATTATCGACAACAGTCAGAATTCCCACTTCACTCACTCATGTATTAATGACTACTCCTGTTACAACCACATACACGTCATTGTCAAACATGCCACAATCGTCACTCACCGATTTACCATTGTCATCTTATTTTTCACCTGATCCATGGCATCCTGCACCAGGTACGATCTCAAGTACCAGTTGTCAACCTTATGCATCATCGAGTCTGTTATCATTATCAACTAATCCATTTCCATTACCTATTCAAATTCCAAAATCTTTTAAGTGTCATTATCAGTCTAATAATCTTATTCGTTATACATCATGTACCAAGTACGTATGTTCTGTTTGTGTAGGATTTGTTTATTCAAATTCATATACTTGTATATTTTGCACAGTCAAACAATCAAACATGTTTTTAGATAATTATTAAATAAATTATTCTTCAGGTTGCCTAATATTCTATTCGTACTAATTTTATTCACTTGGAGCTACTAAATCTTCCGATTTCATGTTCTCTAAATTTTGTGTCATTTAGTATGTTGTGTGTTATATTTCAAGTAGGTGTGTTTTAAAAAAACTTTTTGATCTATTAGAACGAGAATTTGATAATGTACATGAAAAGTTCAACTTGTTCGTGATCCGACTGCTAATAAAGGCTCTAGCCTAATTATTCTGCTAATCTTAATGAACAAAAATGCATTTATAATCAACAATGTTCATTTTATGCACAGTACTTGCTAAAAACACGCGTTTTTATTCCGCTTTTTACATATGTAATTACTTATAATATTCTGAAGACATTCTTCACTTGAACTAGACTAAAAGCCGGCTTCTACAGACCGGCGCACGTCAAATTCTGTTTATTCCGTGTAATTTCCACAGCTTGATCATAATTACCCCATGAAAAACAGTAGAGTGATCATAATTACCCCAAAGCATATATATTGAAAAAATGACTATCTCTTTTAATTTTCGTAATTTCTCATTAATTAATTCAGGTCAAGTTCGAATGATCTGCAATTCACATGAGAAATAGAGCAAAGAATTCTCTACAAAATGAACTAATTTTTAATTTATTTGCTTAAAATTCTCCGTTGAAATAAAGTTCTTTAAGTTCATTCCAGCCATTTTGGCTGTGCTGATCATAATTACCCCATCGATATATGTTGACTGATCATAATTACCCCAAATGGGGTAATTATGATCAATCGATACCTGCTCACTGGAAATTGATTAGTACTAATTAACGCTAACGAATTTTAAGATAATTTTTACATCGATCGATAGGTAAGACTCAGCTCAATCTATCTGTGAAATATCCCTTTTTTTCGCTGAAAAATAGTTGCAGAGCTTTAAGAATACTCAGAAAATTTTTTATCCTGATCATAATTACCCTAGGCTACTCTATTCATTCAATATCAAGGAAACGAGACATTTTTGTATATGCCGAAGAAATCCGAAACAATAAGCGAGTGAAATGGACTTCATAGATATATATATATATATATGTAGTTTAACTTATGCTGTATCCATGGATATGCAAATGAAAATATAATAATAAAATATAGAGGAGAACGAGCGAATAGAAAAATGTACTTTTTTTGTCCGTGAGAGAGTATTATCAGTCGTGACACGTAAAATAAAGGTGATATAGTAGATAGAGATAAAAAAAATCACTGCACGTGTGTTCACATTAGAGAGGTTATAGTAGCTAGAAGGACTGTAAAGAAGTGTTCATGTTCATTTTTGAAGTGTCGAACAAAGTTAAATGGATTAAAATTGTGAGCATTTATGTAATTTTAATTAATTTAATTAATGTTTGTATCCACTGATGAAGATTGAACTCTCAATCGAAACGTTTGGAATATAATAAAAATAAAGTTGGTACGAAGAAAAAGTACTTATTCAAAAATTCAAAAATTGTTCATGTTCAGAATAGAGAGGTGTTCACGTGAAAGAGGTGCATTTCCAGCAAAAATAGCTCCGTCGGACCGAGACCTTGTTCAAAACGGGAGATGTTCACTATAGAGAGGTGTTCCCTAATAGAGGTTTTACTGTATCTTGTTCTCACTTCTTCCTTTTCGCCTAAACAAGGACAAAAAGGGTTTTTCTACGAAGGTTAGCATATCAAAATTTGGCGCCTTTTTTTCCAAGGGGGTTGCCAGAAAAATTTTTGCGAAATCTTGTAGCCCATCGTCGATTTAGTGGTACGCCGTATTTATCTCAAATGGGTCCTTCCGATTTTAGTGGAAAAAAATTTTGGGAGAAAAATCAAAAAAATTCTTGCAGGATTCGAACCGGCGACGTAAAAATTCACTTTCTTTGCACTAAACCACTGTGCTACGGATCTATACTGATTCTCTCTTGTTATATCAAGTACAGATGAAGGAAAATAATTGAAAAAAAGTTGCTAATGTTTTTCGACCGTAACTTTTTTTCTAAAAAGTTGCCGAAGAGGATTCAGCGGGCTTCCATACAGCACTATCATGACAGTATTTATCTCGAAAGGGTTATATTGTTTTCTTGAGAAAAAGAAACGTTTGCATATTATAAGAATGTAATCATAGTAAATACTGGTGGAAACTCGTTAAGCACAACATTCGTGGAACTAATACATCTTCACTACCAGTTCTCCAAAACATCAACTCTCAATTGATTTATGATGGTCAGAAAAAGGCTCAGTTATTGAATAAACATTTTGCTTCCGTGTGTACTATGTCAAACGCAGATTATAATACCTCTATTCCTATTGACCTCCTTCCAGATGTGAGTTCTTCGCTCTTTTCTTTTCATGTTTCTGCGAAGGAGGTTGAGCATATTTTGTCTCATCTAGATATCAATAAAGCAACCGCACCAGGTGTCAATAATCGTCTTTTGCGTGAACCTTCGTCAATTATTGCTGAAGATGTAGCTTCTATCTGTCGTAGCTCTCTGTTCACATCTACCTTTCCTAATTCTATGAAGTCGGGTTACGTCATGCCATTATTCAAAGAAAGGGACCGTACAGTGCCTAATAAATTACCGTCCTATTACATTGTTGCCTGCCCTGTCAAAAGTTATTGAGAGAGTCATCTATCACTTATATGACATACACGTGTATGATTGAAGATATCTACGTTTTTCTTCACATTTTAAACAGTGTCTATTATATACAAGGTAACGCTCGTCTACACTCGCTCGGTCCCTTGACTTTAATAACCTGGATTTGCGCTACTGAACACGCTTTCGTGATTTTTAAATTGAAGACAATGCTCACGCCTCCCTTCGGTCGGCGCTCGCTGGGGGCCTGACTAAGCCATCTTCTTGATGTTTTTCTTTTTTCATGTGTAAGGTTCGTAAATATACAAGGCAAAAAGCCCCAGAAGTCTAAAAATATTTCTGAACTCACAGCAATGCTCACGCCTCCCTTC